GTATCCTAACCACGTGGGTGATTCCGCGCCTCCAACCCCCAACCTTCTTCCTCCGACTTACCCTTAGCTTTCCCCCCTTTTGCGTCTCCCCTTTCCCCCCACTCTCTCACACGCGCAGACACATGCACTAACACAAATAACGGAGAAAAAGAGAAAGAAAATAAAATAAAATTGCTCCACGTGGTGCAGCCATGTGGTGCGAAATACACTAACACAAATAACGGAGAAAAAGAGAAAGAAAATAAAATAAAATTGCTCCATGTGGTGCAGCCATGTGGTGCGATTTTGCACCTTTAGCATCCCCCCAGCATCCCCCCAGCACCACCCTACTTCCCCCCTAACCCTCCCCCTTTCCCCCTCCACCCGCACTGTCACACTTCCCCTCATCAAATTCTCTGATCCCCCACCGTCCTACTGTGCCTACTGCTGAACTTCTCCCCCCTCCTTTCCCTAATTCTCACGGGCTCCTCTTCATTCCCCTTTTTCTCCTTTTCCTCCCAATTCGTGTGTGCCCCCTCCCCCTCGTCTTTTTCCTGATCCCAACTCCCCCACAATGGCTGTACTTGTTTTCCTTCTCCCCGATCTCCCCCAACAACTGCCACACCATCTTCCTCTCATCCTGATTCCCCCACATCCTCCTTTCTCTCCCCATTGCATTTGGACCCAGAGTACTTCACGTCATTCTCTCTCTCCCAATTACCTTTTCCTCCTCTTTCCCAACTCAATCCCATCACCATGTCATGTTGCTTCTTCTCCCTTTTGCGATCACAGTCGGCAAGGAAAGTAAAACGAAACCACCATACCCTGTTTCTGCCCCCTTTTCCAATTCCTGACGCCATTGTCATCTTACCTTCTCCTCGTAAATCGTGCTGCTCATCTTTCATCTTCGTTGTCGTCTTCATTCGTCATTGTTATGTACCCGATTGAACTTCAATCCACAGCGAATTCACACGTTCCCATACACGCATGCAATTGCAGAGTAGACTCGAAGGAGGCAAATCCACACAAAACCGGAGAGAAGATATGGACAGTGGAAGCTCAAAATACACACAGAATTGAGAAACGAATTTCAAATCTGCAATCCCTCGTCCTCCTCCAATCAATCCAGAGTACTTGTTCCAAGAATCACAACCGCGTTTACAACAACCCTGAACAACCAAAAACAAGTGTTCAACGAAGTATGCAGGAGTCTTCTTCTTCCTCGCCACCTCATACCCCTCCCTGGCTATGGCTGCCGTAGCAGCAGCAACCCCACAGCTGTCACAAACGTGCCAATCTGAACCAGCAATCCCAATGATAGCAGCGCCAGCTCAGCACCCGCGTGGAAGTGCGGCACTGGAAGTCCTGATGAAGAAGGAGACAACCGATCCAGCACTTTGAAGATGTTCCTCGTGAGGAGGAAAAACAGATATGGCTGCCAAGTGGAAAATGGCAGCGCCCAAACCCATCAACACAGTCCTGTGGAAGCTCTCG